ATTCTGTTAACATTTCCGCATAATGCTGGTCAGTTTTAAACCCTATGTAGGTTTACATGAGATTTATTTTCCTGATGTAGTTCTATTCGAATTATTCGTTTTATTCGTTTTATTCATTTTATTCGTTTATTCGAATAGAACGAATAAAACAAATAATTTGAACTATTAAAGGCGAGATATTATAATAAATAATGGTAAAATAATAGTAATAGTAATAACAATAGTAGTAGTAATAATACCGGCAAGATTAGTACCATCTGAAAAGGTTTTTTCGTCAACTGGGATTTATTAAGTTCTTAGCTGGACAGTCCGGGACATTTAAGAAAATGAGCGGGACACGTCCACGTGACAAATTGTTACGCGGACATTCTCCAGGACATGTCCATGTACAACACTGGTCTTTTACTATAAGCTACGATATATATGTAGTTTTCGGTTCTATTTTTACACTGACCGAGCAAAGAGCCGGATTCAAACCCGTTCTTCCTAAAACCTTATTTGTTATGATTCATTAAAAAATAGTGACAATGTAACAAATACAATATATAAATGCTTATATAAAGCGTTTATAAAATCATGAGAGGAATTTATATATATTGAAATGAGAGATTTTCTAACTTCATTATATCACTATATAGTATGTTAAACCCTCATCGAGCGCCAACTGTATGTGATAATTGTAAAAATAAATTCTGTAGAAAATCTTTACTACTATCAAAAAATAAAAAACGAGATAATTATAAGAGTGGTAATTCCAAAGTTGATTTATTTATTGAAGAAACACTAAAAAAATCAGTAGATTGTAACGATTTTATCGAATGGATTCCCATTAAAAGAATAAAGAATCTTCATTTTCTTACCTCGGGTGGAAATTCAGAGGTTTATGTTGGCAACTGGAGGTTACCAGATACTCATTCTAAAACTGTCGTAATCAAAGTTTTAAAAGATTCAAAAATTATTAATGATAGGATTTTAAATGAGGTAAAAAAATATTATTATTTATTGAAATTCTTTTTCATCTAAAAATCTAATTTATCATTATTACTATGTTCAAATTTAAAAGTTTAAAATTCATTATAAATGTTATCTTGCCAACAATAATTTAATAATCCCATTTTATGGTATAACGTATCATGGATCTAAAAATTTCGCAATGATATTAAAAAAAGCAGAACATGGAGATCTTAGAAATTATTTACATGAATATGATTTAACTTGGTCAAATAAATCAAAATTACTTTTAGATATTGCAAAAGCTTTGAATTCAATTCATCAAATGAAATTAGTTCATAAAGATTTCCATTGTAAAAATATTTTAGTTGATGCTAGAGCTAAAATTTACATTGGGGATTTTGGATTATGTCAACATGAAGAAGAAATTCAACGTAAATAATATATGCAATTGTAATTTTTATTTGTTTTATATTTTCTTTACTAATAATAATTTTAAAATTAGAATCAAATATAATTGAAGGTGTATTACCATACATTGCACCAGAAGTGCTGAGAAACTATCCATACACTAAAAAATCAGATGTTTATAGTGTTGGAATGATAATGTGGGAATTGGCAACAGGAGAACTACCATTCGTGAATCAAATTCATAATGCTGAAATGGTTGTATCAATTGTTAAAGGAGATAGACCCCCAATATCCAATGATATTCCCACTCCTTATGTGGAAATAATGAAAAATTGTTGGAATTCTGATCCTGATAAAAGACCTAGTTCATCTCAATTAATAAATTTATATGAAATCTTAATTTCAACTAATCTTAGTTTTCTTAATCTTCACTCAACATCTAATGAAGAAGACCTCGGAAACGGTTCAAATGTTTTTCAAAAAAAAGAAGGTAATGTTCAAATAAACAAAATAAAACAGAATAGCAAAAACCAAAAACTGATGATGATGTTTTCTTTAATTAGAATATGTAACAAGAGCATTTGACCATACTTTAACAATTGATGGAATTTTTTATTTTGAGGAACTTGAGGATAGTAATAGTGATTATAATGATGATGATGAGAATTATCGTCCTGTTTATGAAGATGAAAGATACATCACTCAAAAATATGATTTTACTGTGAATGGTATGTTGAAAAAAAATTTTCTCTTTTAAATTGAGGAGTTCATTAAATATTAATAAAAACATTATTCTATTACAGATTTGCTGTCAACATGAAACGTCATAAATAGTTTGTGTTGTTGTTGTTGTTGTTATTATTATTATTATTATTATCATTATCAAAATTTATACTATTTATATTTAAAAAAATTCTTCGAAGATAATAAAAAGAATTTATTCACATAACTTGATTATATACAGTATGTTATTAAATTTCGTTATTATTGTGATTTATAAATTATGCATCGATTTCACCATCCTTCTATCTATTAGCAAAAATTAACAATTTAGAAAAAGAAGCCGAAGTCACTCAAACTAAACTAATTAAAAAAGAAAATCTACTGAAAGAAAAAGACAGCAACCAAGAAAAATTACAAAAAGAAGTAAACAAATTAAAAGCCGAAATCTTAATATCATAATCCATATTTCCCAACCAGCTTTTATTATCTATATTATTGTTCATTCATTGATGTATTAGCTTGCAATTGAACATCAGATCAAATGATGGATTAGTAAGGTCAATGAACTCTGAAATTACAAGAGTATCATTTGTTGTTTCGGCAACTTGATTTTCGATCATTTTAATAATAAAAATCATGAAACAAAGGTCTATAATGAAAAAAAATCTATTTTATATCACAAGACTATAATTTTGACTTTAGGCGCAAACTATTAATTTAAACTTCATTGTAACAATTGCAACAGCTAACTGAATCTAAATACCAATGCTATTTTATCATTTAAATTCAGTCGACATCATTATGTTGAAATTCTAATCGTTTATCTCCGATAAGAATATTTGATTTGACATTTTGTATAAAATTTTCTTCGTATTAACAAAAATAGTTTTAGAAAAGAGAAAAAAGCAGCTCTAACAAACAAGCAATTAGTATCAGTACTTCAAAAAAATCCCCCATTATATAATCTAATAGAGAAGTTAATTTTGGAAAGAAAACACATTAATACTTATATCCAAGATGCATATGTATTTATATACATTTTTGTATTTTTTTTTTCTTTGTATTTATTCATTTTAAAACAACAAATCTAAAAAAAGGCTAAACCCAAAAAATGAAAACATCGGAATCACCCAAAAGATTTATACAACATGATGAATGATAAAGATACAGATTAAAGAAATAAAATTATTTAAAAAAAACATAATAATCTCTAATCAAAAACATTTTAAATAATTTACAAATTTTTTTAAAAATAAAAAATTAAAATCCCATGATAGTACTAACAAATTTATCCACTTTATCTACATCTTGTCTACTCATTTCAATTATCATTAATAGTTTTTTGATACCAATATTTATTTTAATAAGATGATTTTGTCTAAGAATTTCAAGTGCTTGTTCTCTTTCATCATTATTGAATAATGCTAATTCTTTGAGTACAATTTCAATTGAATTCAAATCATTAATATTTGGTACTTCAATTTCTGAATTAAAACAATCTGACATATCCATTTGTTGAAGAACTGACTTTTCATTGGTAGTTGCTAAAATTAAAAGACGTCGATCCTAAAATGATTTATTGATTATTATATATACATACATGTGTAAATATATATATATATATATATATTACTTTATTTATTAATAGCTACTTACTTTAGGTGGTCTTTTTTTGAGTAAAACCAATAATGTTTGTAAGACAGAATTAGAAAATCTTGGCCCAATAGGTACCCAATCTATATAAATTTTTTATTTAAAAAATAACAAATTAATAATAGTTACTCTAGTTAAAAATTTTCGATTTTCTAAAAATTAGCTAATATACCTAGCAATCTTTCAATGTTGTCCACAACTATGACGCTTAATGGTGATTTATAAGAATCATTAAACACCTATATAAATATAAAATTCATTTTAATCTATATCATAAAAATTCCAATAAACAAAATAAATAAAAAAGGGAATCAATACCTTGTTTATTGCAGTCATTTTAGCTGATTCTGAATATCCAACCATACTTTCTGGTGAAATTAATTTGATAAAAGGAAATTCTGATGCCATCGCCATTGTAGCCGCCAATGCTGTTTTACCACTACTAGGAGGTCCTAATAATATATATATATATATATATATATATATATATATAAAATAAATAAAATAATGTATTGTCATATCATATATAATATTACTGTAAAAACTTTAAAATACTATACCATGTAGCAGGACACTAACAAGCGGAGTTCTGGAACTTTTCCTAACTTGTTCAATGAAAAGTTGTCCGTCTGACAATATCCTCTAAATAAATAAATATTATGTAATGATGCTGTTAATATATATATATGCACGTTAAAAACTTGATTATATTCTCATTCTTACTTCTATATGTGATGCAAATGGAATAATTTGATTTTGAACACATTGTTGTAAATCTTCTTCACTGACACCAAAGGCTGGGTGTACTTCATCCAAAGCTGCTAGAAAATCATTTCTGTTTACTTTCATATTTTCAACATCTGGTGTCACCCCTGCGAGTGTTCCTACTTTAACATGTCTATTAAATGCAAATGAACTGGCACTCTTAACAAGTCCATTGATTTCTGCTCCACTAAAATTTTTGGTCAAACTAGCTAATTCCTCAAGATCAATATCACTATCCAAAATATCGTTTACTTTCATCTACAATTCAAAAGGTAAATAAATAATAATTTATTTATTTGATTTCATTTACTTCATTTTTATCAAATAAATTTTTTTCACCTTTGAAGTATGAATTTTTAATATTTGTAATCTTCCTTGTTCATCCGGTAAGCCAATTTCCATGTGGACTTCCAAACGGCCTTTTAAGAATCAACAAAAAAATTTTCATAATTATAAAAAAGCCTTTATTATTATTTATTTATTTATTTATTTATTTATATATATATAAACCATTCATAAAACCAACCAGGACGAAGTAAGGCCTCATCAATCAAATCCAATCGATTAGTCATACCAATGATTAATATGTTATTCAATTGTTCAACACCATCCATCTATAAAAAATAATTTTACCAATTTAGTCTTCTATACCAATAACAATTATTATCATTATCATCATTTAAAAAATACCTTTGCCAATAATTGATTTACAACACTATCACCAACACCAGTCCCACCAGTTCCACCAGCACCACGTTGTTTACATATAGCATCCAATTCATCAAATATTATAATATGTAATCCAGAATCTTCACCTTTGTCCTTATATTCTTTTTCTGCCTCAGCAAACAATTTACGAATATTTTCTTCGGATTGACCCACATATTTATTCAATATTTCTGGACCATTGACAATTTTTGGTTCTCGAGCATTTAACATTTTGCCAATTTGTCTAGCCATCAATGTTTTTCCTGTTCCGGGTGGTCCATAAAGAAGAATACCTATAAATCAAAATTCTTTAGTTAAAAAATATTTTTTCATTTTATTTTTTTTTTTGTAAAAAATTTATGTTAGAAACCTTTAACATGTTGTATTCCTAATTTTTCTACTAAACTAGCAGGAAAAATTCTAGAAGCAAATGCACGACGAAATATAGCACTAAATTCTGAATCCAAACCACCAATTCCCATATCCTCAAACTTAAAATTAGGTTGTATAATGGCTGTTGTACTGATTAAAAAAAAAAATAGAAAATATATATTAGCTTAACTATTATTTTTAAATTAAAATGTATTCAAAGTAACCCACCTTCTAGATGATCCTTTTAATCTTAATGAAGAATCTGGTGCTTTTATCCAATGAATAACCGTTTGTTGTGTTAAGATACCACGGTTGGCTGGTATTTGAACTAAATTTTTATAGATGCAAAAGGAATGAGTCTCAATAGGTTTTCTATTCACAACATAATTATTATAATATAAGGAGCATTAATTATTACTTTGATTAAGTTGAGGTTCACCACCCGTTAGATCTCTTTGTAATGAAGATTGGTCAATTACTTGAGCGCCTTTGGCAACAACGTGAAGATTTGTTCCATGAAAATCAAAAACTAGTTGCTAAATATAAATTATTAATCAGTATTCTATCACGCAATGAATTTTTCTAGAATTTCTAATTGAATTAATTACCTGACCAATACTAAATATTTGATTATTGAATGACTATACATATATATATAATAGGTCATATGTATAAATTTTACTTTAAGAGAGATAGATAAAATGAATGATATCCAAGTTCTTTACACAATATTGAAAAATCAAAAAACCTGAGAAAATATATTTGACATCTCTTCAGTATCAAATTGTTCCTTTGAATCTTGAGTTTTTCTCAAGAAACCAACTTCAAGCTCTAAGTTCCCTAAAAAAATATTAGGGCCATCAGAGTATGGGTCAAACGGAGCAACTGTCACTTCTTGGTTAAGAGAAAGAGAAGCCCACCGACGATGAGCCATAGAAGTTCCGATTTGACGAGAGGGTTGACTATTTTCTAGTCTATAATGGCATGCCAAATAATCATACAAGTGTTAATTAATCATTAATGGTGATAATCATGAGTGGTTGATTTACCTTATACTGAAAACGAATTGTCCATCAATTATAACGTAACGAACAGAAGAATGAAAGTCAATGGGAGAAACAAGCAAATAGTTGGTTAAAGCAAGTGCTTCACTTGTACATTTGGCAACTTTCATTTTTTGAGCCTGAGGAGAATTCTGTACAGGTGAAGGGTTTTGACGTAAATGAGATCTACTAAGAGGATCCATTATTTTATAGTTTTTTTACTATTCTATGTTTAAATTTAATTAATCCGTAAGAGACTTTTTTATTCAAATCTGGCAGATCATTTCTATGAAAAATTTGGTAACCCAGGGATATTTTAGCAGGTCTATTTATACACATGCACCCCTGGATTAATCCCTATTTTATTACTGTATTAAAAATTCATCATGAAAACACAATAGGATCCGCATCCAGTTTGGACATGCTTTCACGTGTGGCCAACTTTACCATGCATCGTGTGTGGTTTTAATGATGGAAACGAACCATCATCGTCATCCTGATATATAATGTTCCGACGATGGAAGTAAGCCACCGTTGTGTGTGGTCCAATGACAGAAATAGGCCACCGTCGTGGGGCGAATGTAGTCTAGATTAAGAGGTGTTTGTAGTATAGCTAGCTATGCTACAAATGCCCCAGTAAAGCAATTTTTGAAACTTACCATCCTCCAAGAAGATTATCACAGATACAATTTATTGATTTCGCTTCAGCGTCTTTAGTATCAGAATTAGATAACTACCTTGCATTACAGACAGATGAAGAACGGAACTACTATTATGGTGGCTGGCACATGCTAAAGAATACCCAAATTGTAAGTAATATGACACAGATTATCTTACCATTCAAGCAACTAGCATTGTATCAGAACAGTCATTCTCAATTCCTAGGAATACAATTAGTAAAACTCATTATCTGTTGATATGAATAAAAGAAAGAAATAATTTTTTTACAATGTCCAAGATTTTAATCTTTTAAGTAAATGCATATTAATATTCTTTTGTTTAATCTGTCTCGGCACAATCAATGAAGTTACAAATAGCAAATATATAGTTAATTATTAATTTCAATGTTGAAAAGCCAAAGACATTTGAATTGAATATTAAAATCCAATAATTTACTAATACTAAGTGAATCGAGACCAAGTCGCTGATAAACTGACTAGACTGACTTTAAGATGTCTTTTTTTAACAAAAAAGCAATTGTTTAAAATTCTCAAATAAATTTTTTACATTTCGCCATCAAAAATTGAATCTTTATAGATCATACTTTTTAAATTTACCACAATCGATGTCTTTTACAAAATATTTTTGTTCATGTAATTACCAAACAGCAAATAAGCGGCCATGACGCTTTCCTATTCTGAAATTTTTGTTTATGTTTATTGTGGTATTGGTATTGCATTGGCATTATTTTATATCTGTTATAATTTAAATTGAACAAATTTAAATTATTGTTATATTGTATTTGATTATTTTATGAATAGAACTCAATTATTTAAAGGTTACTACAGAAATAGAACGAATATTAGTATCATTTTAATAATGAATTACATGGCAGAGGATCAAAAATTATTAATCTCATTTGAACATTTGATTATCGCGAATCTTTTTAAATACAATATTGGAAATAGTAATAGTAAGAATATATTTCTTCAAAATAATCTTAAATCCCCCAAATAATAAAGTTGAAAAACCTAATATCAAGTTATGAAAAATAAAAGTCAATGCTAATTCCAGTAAACCCATAACGATACTTCCAATATACTAAATAATAATAATAATTGTATCAGTATCTGAAAAAGATTTGATGGATAATCATCAACAATAGAACTTGATTGTTGCTTGCATATAGAAAACTTGGTTTGTTTAATTAATTGAAGAGTGATAATGTTAAAAATGAAAAATCTCAACACCAAATAATTAAAATTATTAAACTAGTGTATGTTACATATCTGTATATATTATCTAAATATATACATGCTCTATATTTTACATTTATAAATAACAAACAAATAAATAATATAATTATAACTACAAGTATTATATTAATTAAAGTGTTCTATATATTATTACAAATTATTATAAAAAAAAAACCTCCAAAATAATTATTAATCACAAGACTTATAAAAAAACTAATCAATAACCTTTTTAATCTATTGATCTATGTCTATTGCATTAAATCCAACGGTATTTAAAGATTTTTTATTCCCATTTTCCTTACTATCGTTATTATTATTATCATCTTTACTTTTTTCATCACTTTTATTATTGTTATCATCATCATCACTATCATCATCATCATCATCATCATCATCATCCTTACTATCACCAATTTCTTCTTGAATTCCAACACTACTTGTTCTGCTTTCAAGAGTTTTTTTTCCTTTTGAAAAAGTTTCCACCTCATCTAGTAATTCTCTATACACACTCTGTTCTTCATTGCCAAAAAGCAAACCAATCAATCCTATAATAGTGCCAAAAGCTGCAATAGGACCGCTTATTATAATGGCAAGAAGACCCAAATATTGATAACTTTTGTCGATGGCATTGGCGGTGAGTAACATTTGTAACAAAATTAATGCAAACAACAAAGCTAATGTAGTATAAAATAGAATTATGTATATATTCGAGGTTGCTCTTGATTTTTCTAAATCTTTTTTGAAAAGATTCATTAAAATCTTGATTGTGTTAGTGTCTAATTCATATAAAGTCTCAGGAGGCCCAAATTCCCAGACCGAGAGTGGGATGACAGAATTTTTACTACGACCAACAAGTGTGAACTTTGCTTCTACACCAAAGTGATCAGAATAGCTAACTCCCAATTCTGGTATTTTTTCTGTGAACACTACACGTGACCCACTACACCAAAATCTTGATGTTTTACGATAAAAAACGTAATCAATACGTTGACCACCATATTGGTCAAGATTTGCTTGTTTGAGTGATATATTTGACCATGTGTTTAAAGGTGAATTACTGGTGTAGCCTTCTTGAGTGATAGACGCTGCTGGATCAAATGTATTGTTGGCAGCAGGTTTATTAAGAGATGTTGTTGAGTCATTTAATGGTGATAAGGTACTTTGTGAAGCCCAAGAATCAGTCATTTGTCCATGTGTTGTCACAAGTTTGTACAGAATTGAATTCGGTTCGCTGTTAAAATCTCCAAGCTAAAAATTTTTGCCATAAAAAAAAAATAAATTTATCATAAATTTTTGGGAATGAATGAAAAGAATAAAAAATTTACTTACAGCAATAACATTACGACCTCTTGAAGCAGAAATTCTAAGCAAATTGGAAATTTCCCAACCTTGAGAAACTCTATGACCTAAATAAACATCAGTACTACTTTTGAGTCCATAACCTGCATGTGTCTTTTTTTAACGTGCAAATATAAATGATTAGTATATAATTAATATTTATTCACAAATAAGCATATATGATAGAGAATATGTATATATATATATACACACACTTACATGAGTGTTAAATATTTCAATTAACCCAGATACAGGATGGTCAACAACAGAACTAGCAACACCTTTACCCGAATACCAATCACCATGTAGAACTTTGATTGGACGACCATTTAACCGATATTTATAAAAATTTACTTCAACTATTGGATAACGTGAAAGAATTACAAGTCCACTTCCAAAAATACCACTTTTTTAGATGATTAAAACAAAAAGAAAATCACATAAGCAATTAATTATAATTAATCTAATAAGATATATATTTTTTTATCTTATTTATGATTTATACCTTGAATAAAATCTGGCGTGTGGAAATCTTTTTCTTGTTTTATTACGGATAAATTCATAACTGTCATAAATCCAAACTTCTTGCAGACAAACTATCTCATAATCTGATTGTGAAAGTTTATCTGCAATTGCTTCTATGCGTTGTTGAAGCATTTTAGAAATGAATTTCAAACCCCTAAATTGGTTTTTTTTTACATTGAAAAAAATATATTATTAAATTTTGATAAATTTGATAAAATAATGAGGCTAAAAAATCCTTAAAAAAATACCAGCAATTTAGGGTAAGTACTGTAAGTGTAGTTGTACTTGAGCCATTCATTATTAATTTTTTATTTTTATGAAAAAAATTTTATGAAAAAAAATTGTGAAAAATTACGAAATTCATTTGTGACTACTTTTGTAAATATATATATAATAATTACTGCATTTTTATTATTGTTTTATAGTTAATTAGAACATATTCAAAAAAACTTTTAAAGTTTAACATTAAACCCCCCTCTCATTTTTTTCAAAATTTTGATCACCTGAAATTTTTTAAAAAAGGCAATGTAGATCAATTTGTTCGAATTCGAAGTTTAACTCATACATACAAATTTGGTAATTATTTGCAAAATTTACTAACTTTGGTTAGTACCTCCCATTGAATTTTCGCACACAACAGCTGGCGCTCGATATAATGAAGTATTACAAACTCTATATGGTACGATTCATTATAAACATTTTGTATGATTAAAAAATGAAGCTTCTTTATATAGACGATTTCACTATATCAAGCGTCAACTATATCGTTTAAATTTTTACTCCCCCTCCTCTCATATTTTTAGAAAACATGATGTTAAGCAGATTTCTAAATTTTAAATGCCTAAATGAAAGTTCTTTTAGACAAGAATGTAAACAAGAAATTTGATGAATCGAGAAAATTAATATTGATTTCGATTCTTTTAAGTTGACTTTACTTCCTCCGACCACTTGGTGGTTTATGATAAAATTAATTGGTTCTCAAAATAGTCATCAACATGGACTATTAGGTTTAGTATCTTTAAACTTCATTTGTGAGAGTAATAATAATATTAAATTATTGATGAAATTTATCAGTGTGAATCATTTTAAAGTATACAATGCATGATTATGCTCTCAATAGGTAACACAGGTTTTATGATTATTATTATGCAACAAACAAAGCGAACGTTATATCACAATGAAGTTTCAGGAATCAAATAAATCATAATTGTACTACCAATATTTTATAAAAATAATTAATATGAAATTAGTTTACATCAGGTCCATTTTAAAAAAAGAACAAGGGAGAAAGCTTGTTCCTTATTATTATGTTATCAAATTGACTGATACTCGGATACTTGAAGATTATCTAAGAAAAGAGAAATCACCTATAAAGTTCACCAAGAAAGAATAATCAATAAAAGAACATTAACACAAAACTGTAAAGTGGCTTTTCGGTTACCTTCAATTATTTCACTTACATGACCGAGTTCAAATTAACCTTTTAGCTACACTCGTAGATTAACTGCAGGCTCTTCGTATTTTATGTCCGTTAATTAATTTATATTGCGAGCTTATTGAACAACTCTCTTGCTTACTTCCTCTTTCTTGTACCTAGAAAGCTTCGGCGAATCTGCAAGCACAATTTATGGTACGACGAATAACAATAAATAAATAAAGGCAGCATTCTATGTGGCGACAAATGTCACTATAGAGTTCCTATTTTATGTACTTGAGTACCGATTTATTTCAGCTGGTTCTACATTATTGGCCGATTGCAGGCTTTATTTACAGATACCTTTAGTAGTCCGTTTAACAGTCGTGTGTTTAATGTTACTATACAATAATAAAATAAAAACAATAACGTTGACCGTTTTATTCAAACAGCCTTATGCTTTGCTACTTTGGTCAATAACCGTTAGCTCTTTATATAGGTGGTTAATCAGTGATAACTATTAACGCTTAATATTTGGATAACCATTTTTAACGCTTAAAAACTTTAATCAAAACTTAATCAATTAAATATATTATTGTGACCTCGCACTATAAAGAACTACCAGCATTAAATAATATAGATGAGTGTGTGTATATTATATTTTAAAGATTAAAGAGGTTGATAAAAAAGAATTGGCTTGGCTTCCTTGATTTGTTCTTTTTTCTTGGTAATTCTGGTAAAGACTTTTGGTTAAATATAATTTTGTTTTCTGAATTTCTAGGACTTGTTGATTTATTTAGCTATCTCTAATTGCTCTGATTTTCAGCTAATTGTTATTCTCTTCACTCTTGGGCTACTTCCAGGACTTTCAAGTGAGTTTTAGTTTCTAACTTTGACTCCTCGACCTGTTCAGTCTTCAGTGATTTTGATTATTGTGTTGTCTCTTTCCCTATTTTCAATTGATTAAATAAGTTTTTCTTTTAAATCATCTTTATCTGTTCCTATTTCAACTATGATTTCCATATTCTTTTTTTTCTATTTCTTTTTCTACTGATAATTAGAAATAATTTTTCTAGACTTTCATTTTCTATATCCGCTATTTCAGCTATTTGAAAAGATTTCAATATATCTTCTCTATTTATTTTTAACTTACTTTTGCCTAATTATTTATATAATTGTAGAGGTTCACTTTTATTATGTCGTTCGTAATACGAGACATACTGCAAAACCAGACAAAGTGAACATAATACCACAACAAATTCAGAGATAGATATTAACCCTATTTATTTTCTGATCTTTTCATTCCTTGAGCACAAATATAAAGCTAAATTGATTAAAAGAGAAGGTACTAATAATTTTTTTTGTTTTTTAAATAAAATAAGTTGTTTTAACAATAATTATTGATATATTTTAGGTTTGATTTTTTTGCCTAGAAGTAAGTGAAGTGGTAATGTTTTTATAATAAACTCTCGATTCATCAAACATAAGCTAGAGTTATGAATAGTTGGTTGTTAAACACGTATTATGACTGTGTAATTGACTTGTCTATCAAACTCGCCTTTTTGATACCAATCAAGCAAAAAAAAAGATTTATTTAAAACATATAAAACGCGTCTCTTGAATGGTAGTTTATCCAAGAAGCTTTTCTTTATGGCAGTGTGATAGTATGTTTGGTTTGTTCAAAAACTTAATAGGTAGGTAAAACCGCCAGTCATCAGTGTTGCAACCGTCATAATGATTATTTATATAGCAGATCTTAATGCAAGCAACTGAAACGTCATTGGACGTACAGAAGTGATGTGAGTTCTATATTGCAATTGTTTTTTTTTACTATCGAAAAACATGTGATCAAATTGGTGGATGATCTTGGATGAAAATGGCAAAACTCGCTGTCTGTCTATTTACAAAAGTTGTTGCCAAGGATTATTTAAAAGAATCAGGTAGGATAGTTAATGAGCGGATGTTGTGGATATTACGTGCATTTTATCCATCCGTTCACCCAGTCTTCAGTATCCATCAATTAATCCATTTGAGATAGAGTAATGCCTCATCTTGTTAATCCATCCATCTGTTGAGATAGCGTAACAAGTTTTTAAATTTACTTTTTATCCATACTACCTTTCCTCCATCTTCTTGTAAGGTTACTTTCTATCCCATTTTGTGCTTTTTTCCCTTCTACACTCTTTTAACTCGTTATCACCATTTTCATCATAATATTATGACTATCATTTATCTTTTGATGAATAAGGTGAGTATAGTTTTGTTCCTCTGAATTTACTTCAACGCTACAATTTTACTTACATTAATTTTAACGTATTGTTTTCTTTTCTTTGTAGTTCTGCTGAAAGGTGGTTTTAAAACACTGTCTCTTTATTTATATTTCTATTTAACCTCTAAATATTAATTCCTTGTACATTTTTTATTAAGTTCTTATATTATTTTAGAGAAGTCTTATAAAAGATAACCCAATGCCCAGGTGAAACTGCCTGGAATAGATGAACTTGATTCTTTTTCTTAGAGAACTACATCTTGTTAAAATACCACTTTCTCCTGTTTGTTTTCTACTGTGGAGCAATTTAGTTTGGAGGGAAATAATTTTATTAATTATTTTATGCAAAGCACAACGAGGAATGTAAAGCACTTTATTTAAATTTATTAGGCGTTTAATTTCTCTTTCCAGGCATAGCAGTAATGAAGACTTATTTATGATTTTTGGAATGATGCTATCAGGAAATTATTTGAAACTTTTGGTCAATTTGTTGAAGGGTTAAGTTCTATGAGCATTGACCATAAATGATACTAATGAACGTGCAACTAACTACAGGTAAATTTCTTGAGTAATTAGGGAATGAATATAATACATTAATACTAAAAAATGTTTATAGGCTTTGTCTGTCCAGACTTTGTCTTGCTAGTAAAGAATTATTTGTTTTTCATAGGGAGGAAAAGGGAATAACAAAAACAAATAATCCTCAAGATGAATCAATTAATAAATTTACTGTTTGGAATTATGGAAATACACCTATGTTCTTGGATATTATTCGATGGGTTGTAGTATCACTTTTATTGCTTTGTATTATTCTGAGTGAGAAATTGGTAAAGAACATTTAGATTTGGGCAAGTTATCAGAAAGAATTGAAGCTATGGATTTTATCCGAAACACCTGTAAGTACCTTCTTTCACTTGAAAAATAAAGACTTATTATTTAGAATATTACCTAGGATGGTAGGATTATGTATGACCTTCACGATCAACACCAAAGCTTCATTAAAACATCTTAATGGCACCATTATTGATATCTGTCCAGAATTTGTTAAGAAAAGGTTTAAAACAAAAGAACAAGTTGAACACTTGAAAAAATTTATGAAATCATAAAAGTAAGTTGAAATTCTATATTAATATTTTTTCTAAAGATAACATATAACAGTATATAATATGAATTAGGTGACAATAGTTAAATGTACAAACAAACTGAAGAGGTTGTTCACTTGTTGTGTTTATTTGGAACCATTTGAATTTCAAATAATGTTAAACAACTGCTGCGACCTATATAACTTATATGTGTGCATTTATAAACAGGGATTTATATGAAATTAAGCCTTAAGCAATTATGTATAGGAATGTTCGGTGGCCAATATAATTCAGTATAATGACAAATACATCTTAATTGACTTTGATAATGCCACAGTTTCTCTTTCGGGAGTTGCTTTATCTGATGTCACAGAAAGTAAGCATGCTCCGGAAATGTTATTAGGAAAACGTTGACGTATGGGGCGTTGGGTATCCAAGACATGCCTCAAGAAATTTCTGGATTTTCTTGGAATTTGCGTAAAGATGATCCAGGGAAAAGACCATCTGCTTCTGATGCACTCAAAGAAATAAAAATATGTATAGAAAGGTAATAAAATTATGCTTTCTTTGTTTTTTTAATTAAAATACAGTTTTTACATGTTCTTAATTTAAAATTTATACATGTTTCCTTATGAAGTTTGGCTAGAAAGTTTTGAGGCTGAAGTTCAATAATTGAATTTAAAATGGTTCGTTCTTTTGATACAATTCTTGCTTGTATTTTATTAACTAACAATAATCAATGATAGAAATTGCAAAAATGTTTTTTATGATAAGGCAATTTCATACCATATACATGTGAACTTTTTTTAAATTATAGAAGAAAAACATTTCAATATGTATGCATTTGTTGTAAGAATGATCTCAAGGCTAAGAAAAACTTTTATTCAATACATTGTAGATGATCAACAAAGGTTTGTCTGATAGAATTTCTTAAATCTTTTATCTTTCAAATCAGTATATCATTATTATTTGTATTAGAATTAGTTGGTTGCCTTTTGAAACTCAAAAAATTAGGTTTAAAGTTTCGAAACTCTTTGAAACAAATTTAATTAGAGTTTAGAACCCTTCAAAATTTTGAAACTAGTTTAGAAGGGGTTTCCAGCATAGCTTTTCATTATAACGCCTACTGATATATCAAAATACACTCAAAATTATTTGTTATCATTCTATTATATACCAGGAGAGCATTACGATATTAATGCCATGATTAACGAATATGAAAACCAAAAGATTATCAATTTCGTGTTACATATACTACCCTTTAAAAGGTCAAGGATTTGCAATAAATAACACGATTTCCTAAAGGCCAAGCTCTACCCCCGGAATAAAGGAATAAAGGCACGATCTTTCTCCCTGTTGAAGTTGCAACTATCACTATCAATTTGTACATGCCGCAATGACCAAATTTGGAGAGATTTTCTTTAAAACACAGTCTCTCCTTAAACGCGAAAAACATAAAGTTTGACACACAGATCATAACAATAACAATCGAAAAAAAAATATATAAACCTAGGTTTCCCTTCCCTCTCTCTCTCAAGAAAGTAAACAGCAAGCGAGGATTTCCATTCTTCAACAATAAACAAAATCCTTCCCCAGCTCCCCAGCAACATCCATTCTATCCTTCGACGACGACAAGACCTTCCTTCCATATTATTGTTATTATTATTATATTTATATTTGTAGTTACAATATTTATTTATTGTAGCTGCAATATTTTATTTTAATAATAATAATATAAGATTACCCATTTTTGGGAATTTGTAATAAATTTTATAAAAATAAACTCTCTTTAACTTATTTAAACATGATAAATATTTATTATTGTTTTCTTTTAATAAAAGAACAAATGAAGTAAAAAACCCAACTCTACTGTCGATGAGGCTACTTGTGCGTTCATTTTTTCAACTCAACTATTCCTCCAACCAGCTATCCCTCCATCCTCCTCTCCTGATGCGTTTTTGTCTCGAACAGGATTGTTCCTCACGATCTGGCTTGCGAGCCAGATAACTTATTAAGCCTGCGAGCTTATTAGGTTATTTTGCTTGCAAGCTAGCTCGTGATGAGCCTTGTGCGGGACGTTGCCCGGCTTTGACTGAAATAGGATCAGACACTTACTTAATGTGTTGGCTTATTTTTATTCCACACGGCAGTAAGTCTTATCACAATAATTAATTATATGGACGGGTATATGATTTTTATCATTTATTGAATATTTATATTTACAATAGGTGGGGTTATACTATCTGGAATTGTGGATCGGTTTGTGCAAGTTTTTTGAAAGTAATGAGTACGTATAATTCTAAATATTTAATTCTTGAAGAAATAATAATTTGCTCACATGATATTGATATTAATATACTTATTTTACACACACACATATATTATATTAGGCGGGTTCGTTTTCATCGACTCCTTTACACACTCCTTCGATTTTAGTTTAGCTTTTAGTTTTAGTTTAACTCTAGTTTAGCTTTATTTTAGTCTTAATTTAGCCATAATTTAGCCATAGTTTAGTTTTAATTTAGTTTTAATTTAGTTTTAGTTTAGCTTTTTCTTAGCCTTAGTTTAGTTTTATTTAGCTTCATCGTAGCCTTAGTTTAGCTTTCTTTTATCTTAGTTTAGTTTTAATTTTAGCTTTATTTTAGCCTTAGTTTAATTTTAGTTTAGCTTTAGCTTAGCTTTATTACTACCCCATATTCGTCACCATATATATATACCCAAGCTTTTTACTTTCATTTATTCAAGATCACGCTGGCTTTAATAAGTGTTAGGTAAATAATCAATTAAGTGATAATTGATAATTGATTAATTCAAACACCATATTAATTATCATGATAAATATTAATTTTATAGTTGGGCAACATTTTTTTATTACGAACGCACATTATTTCGCATCAGAGGAGGGATAATATTTGTTGGAGGAAAACAAAAGTTGAGAAGCAATTTTGGATTTTTGGTGTTTGTTAATTTATCCAGATAGTCGGTAACAAATTGATTCGATACTTATTTTCGGATTGATTATAAAATTATGATTTTGAATTTATTATCCTTCATCGCAATTATCATTAACTCGTTTTAATTTTTCATTAGTTCTTTTACTCATTTGTTATGGAAGGCAGAAGACCTGAGGTACGGTACGGACTCGACGGGGAATTGGTGGTGAAGCAGGCTAGATCGGATTTTTATTATTATTATTAGTATTAGTATTATTATTATTGGCTTTTTAGTAATAGGATTATTGGTAGTAGTAGCTTTAGTATTAGATTTTTTATTTATTTATTTTTTAATATCTGATTTAGTCCGCTTCTCAAGAAACCACCCACACAAATTTCTTTGGCGTGGTGCAATTTTTCTTTTTTTATTTATTTATTAGTATTATGATTCATGTATTAGTATTATCATGTATTAGTAGATTTAGTATTAGTTACATTCAATTTGGATTAAATTTTATTTATTTATTTAATTTATTATTAAAAAATTGTTAATGATATAATTACATGTAGAAATGTGTCTAGATTTTTTCTTTTAATATAATAAATGTAAAGTTAAATGGAATTAGTATTAGCTGTTTTCAATGTCAACTGACAATTCATCTTTTTATCTATCCTTTCCCATATTTGTGTTCTTGTTTGAATGCCAACCACCTTCTCCTCAATTAATTGCGACTAATTGCGGTTCCCATTTTTACGTGCATCACAAATTAATCGAGTCTTCTGTTTGGAATCCTAGCCGCCTTAGATGGATTGCCTCAAAGATTGGATCGCTGTAAAATGTATGCGCTTCTATACAAAAAATAATGGTTTGCTTTTGAGTTTGTGAATGGATCGATCGTGATTATGAATTATAATAAAAATGACGTGCAAAATGGATTTTATTCCAACCTCAATTTTACTCATCATCAATCACAATACTAATGTCAATAATAGTATAGTAATGCCTAGGTTTTGTTCCTAACAGATCAAGCGAATGGGTTATATAATCTTCTATTCGAGACGATTATGACTTTGAGAGATTAAGTAAAGAATAATGCATTTTTTATATTATATTCAAAGTTAAATTTTTTTTTTTGGATTAATTCAAACTGGTCGGCGAAGTCCTTTGTATTGAGATTAAATTGAGTGTGTCGTGTAATTAGAAAATATAAAGAGAAACGAGGAAAAAATAGCTTTAGTCTGAAGTTTTTGATGGTTTGATTTTGAATTCTTGTCTTGAGCTAATTAATCTACTCCTAACGTTGTGGTGGTGGTGGTAAAGAAATAGCAGTGTTGTTGTATTAGTTGTATATTAATAATAATTTTTATATTCATTATAAATTCTGTTATTTTCAAGTTTACATACCTAAATTTTGGTCGTAATATAATTCATAAACAAACAATAATGAGTACTTTACTAAGATCAAGAATGATAGAGCGAAAACAAATTTCTTTGGTCTGTGACGTCCCATAATAAAACTTTTTTCTTTAGGATACAATTGAACAAAAAACCTTTCCACGAATTCAAACTATGAAAACAGAACTTTCCAAAGCTATCAAAGCGATATTATTTCCAATATTGAAGCCTGCTCCTCTAGGTTTCGAGTGTCAAGAATGCCTTTATAATAATATTTATCCATTCGTCAGAGATGAATTCAAAGATATTACTTATCCAAAAACCAGATAATGCTGACAATTAACTTATGGTTTCATGTTAATACTATCATTTTATCAGTTATGATAATTTTCACTCTTCTTGGTAAACTTCATAGGTATATCTAAATATTCTTGTATAGTTTGATATCATTCATCTTGGAAACACAAGGTGCATCTTGCTCTCTTTTTAAAATACTTCTGATAGTACTGTAATTTTGAGTTCCACAGTGGATCTGATGCAAATGTAAATCAGCTTCATATAATACAGTTCACTCTCTCTATGACAGACCATTTAGCTTATGAAAAAATGTCCATTGTAGAGAGAATCAGTAATGATTTATACGTGGGGCCATATAAATTCTCAATCCGTTATTATTATGGGGAGAGTGAATTGTATACCATTTATATTATTTTTTAATTATTGTTAATATTTAGATATAAAAACAAATTATAAAAAATATTTACTATAGTGAATGAACCTTTTTAATATCACTATTAATAATTCTAGGATTAACAATTTTAACTAAATGCCAAAACTAGCCACTACACCTGTTGGAGTACTAGATATCGTTCCACTACCTTCAGATCAGCCCAAGATAGAGAGTCTTTAGCTTAGGTTGGAATGGTTTTGGTTCTTTCGATTTGTTTTTCCATATATAATTTTCTTAAAAATATCTCCCAAAAATTGCATAGGATTACTTGATCTCAAAATAAAAAATTCAATGTCTTTATTGATTTTAGCTTGTTCATATTAAAAAAGCAATAATTAACGAACTAATTGAAGGTGATTAGGAATGGAATATATGGGTGCAATTTTTATAATTTCAACCAATAGTAAATAACCGTTTTATTCTTAAAAAAATTTTTCCTTATATACCAATTATATTGATCACATTCTAATCAATAGCACATGTGGTTTAGTGGTATAATTGCCGCCTGCCATTTAATGTGGACCGCGGCAGACCCGAGTTCGATTCTCGGCATGTGCAACTGAAAATTTTTTTTTTACTTAATTTCGTGTATATACTATTAATATTAATATACAAATAGTATTTATTGTAAAAGATCTTTTTTAAAATTTCCCTCCTTTAATATATTTAGAAGAATTAAACTTCACTCTACCTACAATAAGAGAAGTTTTAAAAATTACCTTCCCAAATATTTCGTTAGAACAATTAACGAAATATGGGAAACAAATAATTGATTCAAGTAATGATAATATGGGACAAAATCGCTTTACTTTTTCGCCCCGCATAGATGATTTTCAAAAATTAATTTTCAAGAATCCTTCTTTAAATGAGCTTGATTTGTCTCCGCTTAAAAAAGAACCAACCGAATGCTTACGATAACATCATAGAGTTATTTGCTACGCTAAATCTTCCAATTGGTTAACGGAAATGTCAAAATGTTTATTTCGTTCATTTTATGAACTGTTTGAGTGATCAAATTAATCAAAATGTTGCGCCTTCAAAATTTTACATCTCAATCCAGTACGAATAGGGGATGATTTATAGTTGGTTTATTAAAATGGGATGATAAAAACCTCTTTAATACTCAATGCTTGTATAATATTTTTTAAAAAATATTATATTTGTGGTTTCTAATATTGTATATATAAATTTAAACATTTTAATGTTTCTTTAATTGAAGTATTTTTTGTCGTAACGATGAAACCTTCTCGCATAAGTCATATTGTAGATCTGACAATTCCTATATACATGTATATATGCAAAATATTATTAATATATAACATAAAAAATAAATAAACAAAAAATATAATGCACGAACTCTTGGTGTTAAGATAAGTTCAGAAGTTTTCGACTCATCATATAATAATAAATCTAATTCTTTTTCGATCTCTTGACTAAGTAAATAAATAAATAAGTAATAAAAATAAGATTTAAATAATAAAAAAATAATGATTTTCTGAAAGTGAATATATTATATATATATATGTTAATATATTAACCAAGATTTCACTAAATTTTGTTGTGCCTTTGATTCTTCTTCAATTCTAAGGAATTCATCGTTTCTAATATCTTCAATCTTTACGATTTTTTCTTTCAAATTATTAATCAAGGTTGTTTGATTATCTTTATTTTGGATTTTTAATTTGAAAAAAGTAAGTTAATTATTATATTATATATATGATCTATGTTTGAAAACAATATACCTGGATCATCATCATCACCTAGGTTTACCAATTTTTTAATTGACATTAACATAGTATCATTGCTTTCTAATATTCTTTTTTCTAATCTAGGCTCTATAAAATCTGATGCTGACATAAGTGACTAATATATGAACGAGTGAATTATTTAATAATTATTTTTTGTAAAAAAAATCATAATCATAGTAATGATAATAATATAATTAGGATAATAATAACAACATGAATAAATAATAATACTTGCCATTCTTTTTTCATGATTAATAGCTCTATTTTCTAATTCATTTTTTATTCGAGAAAATGAATTGTAAATTTCATTTTGATTTTTCAACTCGATATTAAAAGCTTCAGTTACAAAATGTGAAATCGAGTATTGCGATAATAATTGATCAGTCACCTAAAACATAATCATCAATGTATATAATTAATAGATGTTATTAATAACTTTTTTCTTCTTCACAAAAGAAATTAACAACAAACCCAATTTAATTTTTCTATCAATAAACATTGATTATCCGATTGATTTTTATAACCAGCTTTTAATATAGGTTCTTCTATTTCTTTTTTGGCAAGAATGTTTAGCTTTTCTTCTATCTCTGAATAAAGTAATTTTTTATATTGTTGTTCGATCATTATTTTTTTATTTGCATTTTCTTCGATAACAGAACTAAATTTAATAGGGTGTATATTTGTAAAGAATATATATATATATATATATGATTCTTTTTTAAAAGAAAAAATCGCTACTCTTACTCTAAAATGTTTGGATCAAATTGTAAAGAATTTAAATTCATATATTCACTTTCTAACGCTTGTAAATATTTCTTCATGTATTCAAATTCTGCAATTGCTACATAATTTTTATGCTCTTCTTTAACAACTCTATTAAATATTATCAAATAATAAATTAATAATTATTTATATTAATTTAGAATGAAAAAATTATTAAACTTACGAATTTCTGAGATGATTGATTTCATCTGTTAGATAATAGTTATCATTATTATCAGGTGTTGTTGTGCCTACATTCTATACATACATAAATCATTCATATTTTAATATTATACGGTATAATTTTTTTCTAATGAATGATAAATAATAATTACCAGTGAAAAGATCGATCGACGGATTTGTTCAAGTTCTTGCGATAATGCTTGATCTGCATCAATTATTTCTTTTAATTCATCTTCACATTGATATAAAAATTTTTTAATATGTTGTTTTTCTGTAATAATATTAATAACGTGAATATAATCAAGTAATAATTATATTATATATATATATGAACCAATGTATTTGCCTTTATTTGATTTCCCTGGTCTTTCTGATATTATATCTTTTGCTGAATCAATCATATTTACAGTATTTACATCCAACTATTTAATGATTGTTATTATTTATAAACTATTAATGAATTATCTTTGATTTGATCACTAATGATTTTCTATAAAAAGTTAAAATAATCTAACACCAACAAACCTTTACAGATTCCTTTTCAATCATTTCATCAACTTTTTTATTTTCTATATATAATTCATTATTTATCTTATTCAATTCTACTAATTCTTTTTCAAGATCTTCTAATGTTTTACTATATATTGTTTTAATCTAATTAGAATAAAATATTTTTTATTAAAACATATATATATATACCCAAGTTGTTCTTTTTGTATTGTTACACGTTCATGAGTTTTTTTCATATTATTAATATCATTTTCGATTTTCTCATTTTCTTTTCTATATGATTATATAATCGATTATATTAAAATTTATGACAAGTATATCAAGTATATTGATTTATTTGTGTAATATGTAATAATATACCGCAATTTTTCTAAATTTTGTTGATTTCTAAAGAAAACGAACAAACGAATTAAGATAATAAATAATTGATCAATTAATTTTTACGAAGTAAAAATTGAAAATTTACATGGTTCTTAGTTCATTATAAATAATATTTTGTTCCACATCGATATTTTCACATAACCATTCAAATAAAGAATATGCTTCACTTTGATCAAATGCCCATAATATTTGTTCTGGTAGTAGTGAAGAAGCATTAGGATAGCCTATTTGTTTCAGAAAAGATATAAGTTTTACTGCCAATTTAAATTTATCATTATCCATATTTTTTATTGGATTTTTGAAAAAGCTCTCAAAAAAAAAACGCGAAAGATTTTTTTCAAAAAAGGATAAATCATCATGTGTTTTACTAATTTGGTTAGTACGGAAAATTTTAGTGTCACTAAATAAAAATCAAAAAAAATTTTTGGGATAAAAATAAAAAAGAAATGGTTCGCCTACGGTATTTTACCTCTTCTTCACTTTCTTCCTACAATTCATTACTAAATCGTGGAATTTTATTGCAAAGAAATTCTCCAACAATTAAATATTCTTTTTCAATCATACAAAAATATAAATTTTCATCAACTACAATAACGAAAAAAGTAGTAGATAAAGACAATAATAATAATGGTTCTTCTGTTGTTGCTAATAATAATAATTTAGAAGAGAGTAAAAAAATTACTGAAATTTATAAACAGTCAGTTAATCGAGATGTCACTTGGTCAAAAAGTCAAAGACCTAGAAAAGATGCTTTAGTTGGACCTCGTTTTGAACAAACTGATCTTGATGCACAAGTAATGAAATACTAGCTAAATTATTTTAGAAATGTTCAAATAAACAAATAAATTTTTATTCTAATTATCGTTATTGTCTTTATGATTTTTTATAAAGCCAAGACCGTTATCAGCAATTGAATTAATTGGAGAAGAACCAATTCATTATGTAGAAGGAAGAATTGCTGTTTGTCATGGGGGTAATTTGGATTATATATATTATTAATATCATTATAAATATCATTTATTATCAATAATGTGGCCAATTTGATGATTATATTTATTCTTATTTTGACTAGGCGATGGAAATTTAGGTCATCCGCAAGTTTACATAAATTTGGTAAGTTAATTAATAAATAAATAAAATTGAAGATAATAAATAATGATTACTAATTCTCTTGAATATAAATAGGATCAACCAGGGTCTCATGCATGTGGTTATTGTAAGTTATGATTAAGTAATATTATTTGCGTGGGGTGGATACATATTTGTTTATTCATTTATTTATCTATTTAACATTATAGGTGGAATAAGGTTTGAACAAAAACATCTTCATCATCATTAATATGAAAATATTAAAGCATGATCTTAAAAAAAAAATATATATAACCTTTTTCTTGATTTATTTATATGATACGTGAATAATTAAAATATTTTTATAAATAAATAAATAAATAAATCAATAAATAAAAATCATAAGATTTGTTATTAATAATATATTTATTATAAAATTCATTATGCAAATTTTTTACATGTAGGTTTTGTTTTTTATTAGTGTAGATGATGTTTGTAGTTGTGATTAGGTATTTAACTTATGTATAACTTATAAATTTATGTTATAGTAAACAATTTTTAAAAAAAAATGAATTGGAATCTCTATATATGAAAAAAATCTTAATTGGATTTATATGTTAATATATTATTATGTGTATATATTATTTTGAATCTAAACCAAAACGACATATATAATATATTTTTGTGAAATTAAAAAAGAAATACTTACTTTTTGTTTTTGAAAATATTTAAATTATTTTTAAAAAAAAATCAATCAAATTAATAGAATTTGAAAGAAAATATATATATATATATAATTTATATTCACAATTAGGAAAAATTTAAAGAAAAGAAATTAATGATTGATTATGAGGTGATTAATTTATTGATTGATTAAGTGATTATTAGTTAATCGATTAAGTAAATGATTAGGTGATTATTAGGTTGATTTATAATCCAATCTGATAAAGCTTATCAAGTGTTTCTTTTTGTTGATGTATAACATTCATTCTGTACATGATAATTATAAATATTAATGTGGATAATTGCTAAATGTGTAAAAAATAATGCAAACTCTCATAAATAATCTACAAAATGTAAACCTTTTTTCTCGATCAAGCTCTGAAGCCAGATAACTGATGTATTGATTAAGACGGTTGATTTCTTCTATGAGGTAACATTCTTTAGATTTCATATTCTTAATATGTGAAACAGCTAAAGAAATATAAAAAAAATTAAATAATATTTTTAATAATAAATCCAAATCCAAATTTAACATAAAATTTTGATTAGATTTACTTTTTTGAAGTAACATTGCTTTACTCATTTTACGACTGTGATTAGAGATGGGTAATTGCCGTCTAAGATCTTCGAACCCATCTTTGATCTCTGCGCGTCTTTTCTGTTCGGATTGAATATGCATTCGACGACGAACTTCAGCATGTGATAATGAACTATGTTGTGCATGTTAGATTGATATGGCAAATCAAATAATATTAACGACCGGTCAACCTTACACATAACAATAGAAATCATACATACCTATTACCATTATTACCATTAGCGTTAGCATACTCTTCTTCATAACCATCCAAAGAAGAAGAAGTATCACATTCTTCACGCGTTGATTTTCGTCTCCTACGATTATTACCAGATTTAGCACTTTCATATTTTTCTTTATCATATTGTTTAAATTCTGGGATATCCAATTCATCATGTGTAATTGTTGTAACATTTGTGGGAGCATTGGTATTGATATTATCAGGGTGGGTGAGAGGAATAGGATGAATAGGGAGATAATCAAAGCAAGGAGTGGCAGCAATTGATGATTGTGGTGGTGGTGGGGGTGGTGATGAGGGAGTTGTTGTTGGTGAAAAAATTTGATGTTGATGGTGATGATGAGTCGATGTTGTTGATGTTGATGTTGATGTTGACGTTGATGTTGATGTCGATGATTGTGGTGGATTATCAGAAGAAGGTCCTGATTGATAAAGAAGGCAAGGTGTTGATTGATTGATTGTCATACATACATACATTAATTAATTAAATATAAAAATTTTTTCTATTTCCCTCTATTTTATCAAACACGTTCAAAATTTCCTACTTTAGACACGCCAATTTCTCGTGTTTTATTTTTTCTCTATAAATCATACTATATATAGGAACCTACCTGTAGTAATAGTAGTAGTAGCAGCAAGCGGAGTATGAGATGATTCTATTGGTCTCATAAAATTTCCATTAAATTGAAGCATATTTACTCGTTTCATCTATGAGAAATATTATGATTTTATATATTATAATATTAACTATTGTATTATATATTTTCTATTATATTTTATATTTTATATTTATATTTGTATTTATATTATTTATATATCAGAAAAGAACTTTTTTTGGTCATGGGAAATTATTTAAAAAGATAAAAAATTTATAAAAAAATAAATAAATTCAATTGGTGGTTGGTTGAATATTTTTTGTATTATGATTAGAAAATGTCAAGTGTAAATGTGATGATGTTACATACAGATGATGATGCTATTTTTGTTTAACCAGTATCTATATATCTGAGGAATTCTTCTATATCAATGCCAAATTCAGATTGTAGTTTCTATTCTAATACTAAATTCAGGAAAGAATTTTTTTTGAAATTATTTTCTATTAAATATAATGGATAATGAATAATGATAAATAAGTACAGTGATATAATAATGTGAACAATTTTACTATATTTTAATGAAGAAATAAAAATGTAAAATCAAAAAAAAATCAAAAAACACAATTTTAAAAAATCCCTGATATCTTTTACTAATTAGGAAAATTTCATCTTTTCATGTGTTTATTTTAAGGGACTTTTTTAATTACTATGGAAAGGATTTACATACAATGATTGGATGACATTTGTTAGATTTACTAACATCACGAGTAATTTTGGCTAATCCGACTTGGGCGGAATTAGAATTCTTACAGATCATTTTCCAATGTATACATAGTAAAACCGTTTTTGTTTTTTATTTTAATAATTTAATTACATTATAAAGCACAATAAACTTAATATAATGGTTTTTTTAAAACTTATATATACCCTTCTTGTTTTCTTATTTCTCCAATGATCATATGGGGACTTTTCAATAGAAACGGACTGTGTTGTGAAAATAATGTTTTGATAAAAAGTTTACATTTCAAGTAATTTACTATTGTTTTCAAAACATCATTTAGTAGGAGGTTACACATATCAAAACAGTTAAAAATCCATGTGTTGATCGTCTGATTTTGACGTGTAACCACATTAATGAATACTCATGAATGCAATTGCTATTGAAAAGCCCCCAATAGGACCCCAGACAATTATAATCAAGGTCATAGGTACTATGTTTTGATGCAGAAATTTTTTTGAATCATATTGAACAACATTTGGACATTTTTCCTCTGTGTAACAAGGCTTTATCTCAAGTTCTGGCCATCAGCATTATGGAATTTGGGTGTCAAAAGATTTATCTCTATAAAGAAACTTTTTTTAGTATGGTCTTGAGGGCATTTACTTTGGTAAATCACATGATAGATATTGTGTAAAGTTTTACAGCATAGTACCTATGACCTCAATTATAATTGTCCAGGGTCCTCCCCAAATATGCTTTTTTAAAACCATAATCTTCCATTTAATCATATCATTGAAAGTATCAATATTCTTTCTGCTTGAGGCATAACTAGTGTTATTTTAAGAATAAATGATAATTAAAAGAAAAAGTTTTATTGTTATCTAAAATTTGTTTCCACAATTGAATAAAGCCCAATTCTGCATGTTTGTGGGATTGACTCTATTATTGCCAATGAGAATTCTTTGACAAATAAGGTATTAACTGATTAGGTAGAACATCTTCATAACCTATAAGTTCAAGGTTGTATCTTAATTGTGTTGTCAAGGTCTAATTTAAATTTTGATATTCTAATTGAAACATGTAGATTAATTTTTTTAGAATATTTGTTAAATCGGCAAGAGATATTGTTGCAGAAATAAATTCTGATCTATACATGTGGTAGAAATAGGTTGATCAGGTGACTTTTTGATGCAATTAATTGAGTCATATGAAAGACATATAAATAATTGAGTCAGATACAATTAAATTGAGAGTTGAGTCAAAGTTTTGACAACATGTATATTCTGATCTAATTGATTCAATAAAAATCCTGTTTGCTTATCAACATTTGCCATATCATCATTTATAGCACCAAGTACAGAGTTCATAATTTGATATAAATTTATTTGCAGCTTTCGAAATGATAACCATCAAATGTCACATAAATTCAATGATTGATTTCCTAATGTTTACACAATAATATAAAAAAATAATTTAGAAAATGATCAATTGCCCGCATTAATTTTAAAATATCTTGTCTATTATGTGATCTAGAAGATCTAGAAGAATATCCATATAAATTATGTGATGTTTTTTCATATTTTTGGAAATATGTTACTTTATCAGAAGCATCTTTTCCTGCTAAATGAAGTCTATGTGATACACAATGATTTGATGACATGCATGAATGGATTGATTTTTTTGAACCTTGCTGCAACACCACTTCCAAATGAATTATATTGTTATGGATATCTTATTTAAGTTACAAAATGATATGATATGCTGTAAATATTTCCTCTATCAGTTGAGTCTAGGTTAATCATGCTCAAATATCTCATAATTGGTGTATTATTATTAATTTCATCAATCAATCGTTAGAGTGAAAAATCTAATTCTTCGAAATAGTGATTGTTTTATCACAGAAGCTATACTACCTAAAAATTCAAAACCAGCTATAGGATATTTTTGTAGCTCCCATATTTTGATTTAGTTTTCCTAACGAAAGGAGTTTTAAAGTAGAAGTTTTACCACTAATTACTAATTTTTATTATTCTCAATTTGTCAGGATAAATATAAACATTTCTCATTAATGAAATAATTACCAATTTTCCATTGTTTGAATGCTATTTTACGTTACTTCTATTAAATCCATTTTGGCTTGGTTGAATTAGTAGTACTGATAGGGATGTTAATAGCCCGTCCAGACTGAATGGACCACAGACCGAGTCGGCCTGTTCTTTAGGTATCAAAGACCGTTGGATTTTTTTAATCATAAAAACATTTATTTCAATTTGATTTGTTAAAATATTATTTATTGATACAAATATTTAATATACTTCCAAAAGAATATAACAGTTTTATATATATATTAATTCAAAATTCATTCATTGTCTCTATGAATGATAAACAGTTAGAATTTCTATTCAGATTATTCGTGATACACTTTGAATTATTTGTTTCTTCAAATGACTCATTTTATTTGTTTTATTCGAATGAACTTTCGTACATAACGAATAAAACAAATAATTCGAATAAACTTCATTCGGGTAGAAATCCTATCTACAGTCTGGACCATTTAACAACTCTACTGATTTCATTAGTTTTTACATGTTCTTTAAATCTTTCTAATTTTAAATTTTTGTACTGCTGCAAATTCTGTAGTCCCATTTCTACTTCCGCAATTCCGCAAAGTTTATATGACGATTAATGGAAAATAAAAAAAAACAGAGACCCGTTATATAGGAAACTTTTTTTTACAAAATTTACGTGCTATATTGAAAAAACCTTCTAGATCATTGTTTTATTTTATGTTGACGTTAACACTTTTGAAACAGTTAATTAAATTGATTGTGTCATGTAAATGGAAGGATTTCTGGAAGAAAGAAAATTTAGTTCCGAGTGGAATCAAGTTAGTTTCGAATAGATGTGTGAATATTGAGAAAGTGCTTGGATGCGAAATTCCTTTTGATTGGTTAATTTAATTTCACATTTGTCACGCACAACAGATACAAGAATCTACTCTTAGGTAGTAGAAGAGTAGTATTAAATGGTAGTGTTGTCGTCGTGGCAATATGAATAAAATCACATCACATTACATCCATTGCAATAAAAACTTGGCACGGCCTTGTTATTTCAAAGCTTATATGCCACATAACTTGATTGCAACATCACCTTGATTTATAAATTTATTATTCAATTTTTCTTCGCAAGTTGAAAAGTCCTAATTTTTCTGTCTTGGAAACAAATCTTCTTGAGCAAAATGACTTTTATTTTATGTCGAATGCAAATTATGTAGAGTATTCGTTTATCAATGTGGTAATAATGAAGCCGTTTATATCACCATCAGAAATGATATTAATATTATTATAGTCAGAAGTTTCGTCTGGGCAAATTAAATATTAGTAATAATTTTTTATTCTATAAAAGGAAAAAAGGCATTGTAAAAATTAATATTGTTACTACTTCATACAATTTAAAAAAATCATTCATGAAAACAAATTTTGTACACAGACAGACTCGATAAGTCAGCCCGCAGTAATCAATTGTTTAAAGTACTCAATAGTATAAATTATGCGGGAGTCTGTCTGTGTATGACATAGAACGAAACCTTAATTCCGTGGCTGGCATTCTTTAGCCGTGATCATCTATCAATGGCCAAAGTGATTACTATTTTGAGAATTTCGGTAGACAATCTGTCCAAGTGCCTAAATAAATATTTTGAAAATTGTTTTTTCATTCTAAACTCCTTAAAATGCAGAGATGGCTTAAATGAAATCCAAATTTATATCCGAGTAATTTATTTTCTAACACACACAATGATAACCCGCATATTAATATAATTAATTGTTGTTGTTTTAATTTTGTTAAACGTTTTTTTCTCGATTTGTTAAAATTATAGTTTTATTTGTAAAAATTTCAAAACAAGGAATTAAAATAGGATCAGTCGTGTTATTTTTTTAGATATAAATACAATTGATTTGTATTATTGTTATTTTTTCCCCCTTTTTTGTTAGCTGAGACAACTTTTAACCTGTTGATCAATATGGGATCGATTGAAGACGAAAAGGGTGAATTGAAGCTGCACACTCAAAATTTTAAACATGTAGCAGATAATGAATCAATTTATTCACGACAAAGTTCTATTTATAATGGTTTATCACAACGAAGGCATTCAAAAAATAAAAACTATCCTTATGTCGGCAATCATCCAGATTGCCAATACATTGCGGCAAGTCATGACGGTGAATTCGTTGCAAGATTTAATTCTGGTAAAAAAATTGATAATTAAGATTTCAGAATCATTGGATATTTTCATTAATATAATTGTATTTATTACGCACAATTACAGATACGTTCGAGTTGGAATATTACAAGACAGGAAATATTACAAAGACTTTTCCGATAAATAATAATATTCAAAAAGAATTAAAATTGCAACAGAACCTGTGGTGGTCTTTAACAGTCTCAAATACCGTAAAACTCGGCGATAGTAATGACGATGTATTAATTGCTCTATCGTGTTTCGAAGATGAAGTCATGAAGTCATCCACCACCGAATTCTACTCTTCATCCGTCACAAGTGATTATGAAAAAGGCAACGGAAATGATTTTGAAGACTCGATTAAGCCGAGAACTTGGGTATTTTCTGCTGTCTATAAAAAACAAATCCAAACAACTATTGACAATATCGGTGGCATTGTAAGATTTTTAGATAATGTTGCTTCGCCTCGTTCAAATAAAGTCTCGGATTCAAATCTTGAATTAGAGTTGATATTGATGAATTCCTCGGGGATATATAAATCAATTATTTATCCACAACTCCAATATAAAATTCCAAAGTGCATCATGAACTTGTACGATGTCGATTACAAATCTCATAAAGAATTTTTATTTCCTCCAACTGTTCATCTCAATATTAAAAAATTATTTCAAGATGAACCCTGTACAAAGTATGTGGAAAGTTGTGTTGATAAGAACTATTTTTTCTCGGAAGATTATCGAGCTCAAAAAGTTGATGTTTATAATTTGCATACTGGAGACCTAGAAATATCGTTACAAAAACGTGTTCCAATCACCAAAGCATCAGCACTTTTGTCATCAAACACTGCTGCTGCTTTCTCCACCTCCTCCACCACCGATTCAAGACTTTGGTCCAATTATCTATTAGGAAACGAATCAATATTCTCTTTATCAAAATATGAGAATATGATTGCACATTGTTCTAATTCAAATGTTATCACTTTATATTTGGCTGAAAATGGGTTAGAAATTGCTACAAAACTTTTCCCACAAATTTTCAGAATTTTGTTTATAACATTTATTGACGATGACACTAAATTATTTGTTGTTGCACAAAATTATGAAGATGGCAAAGATAAAACAAAATTTATTACTACGATTATAATTTGGGATATTTTTGGTACCAGTAACTTTTACCAAACATTTGATGCTGATAAGGATTCGAGTTTAGCGTGTTTAACGAACGCAAATGATAAAAATTTTTTCACTTCTAGTTTTGGCAGAATTTATTCTTTAGATGAAAATGGTAATTTGTTTTCCTTGTTGGATCATCCTGATGTATCTCACATCTTGAAAAGTAATGAAATGTTACAAACTTATTTTGATGATATGACGCAGCTTCAAATCAACAACAATAATGACAATGAAGATTATCATCATATGATTTATAATTTGGATAAAAGTTTTAGCAATATAAAAGAGAATAAAGGTGTTTTAATAATTAACAATACAGAACCTTGGAATAACAAGAAAAAATACAAGAGAATTTCTGTATTTCTAAATGACGAGAGAACAACACAACTTATCATCGGAAGAACGACAATTCAGGTTTGGCAAATAAAAATTACAAAAGTAAAGGAAACAAAAAAAAGAGTATTGAAATATATTTGGACATCACTTGGAGGATTTGACATGGAATCAATTTCAATTGGCAAAAATAAATTTTCTTTGAAAATCTCGTTATGTTCACTCAACTCACCGACCCATACTAGCCAGCATCTTATTTATTATCCAAACAATCCAAACACAATAAAAGATGCTTGTGAAGCACTTGAGTTTCTTTATACTCATAGAAATCTATGCATTGGCCCAAAGAATCATCAAAGATTTGAAGATATATTCTATAATACTGAAAAACTTGCTTATAGATGTTTCAAAAAATCACCAAGTTTATGGAGGCTGAATGATATTCGTCATGATATCATGGCTAATTTGATTAGAGGTCATAATAATTCTTTGATCAAGAAAATCTTATTTAATGATAATGATTTGGATTATAGTAAGCCAGCCTTAAAAAATAATAAATACTATTTGCATACACCACGTTTATATAGATGGCCAAAACAGAGAAAAACCACTGATTTGGAATTAGCAATTGATCATACTAAAGGTATTTATTTACTTTAGAAGATGTATTATTATAATTTATAATTATTAAATGGATCATATGATTAATTTTATTATTATTATTATTAGGAAAAGCTCATAAAGATACTGCCATAGTTGGATTTTTATTAGAATATTATTCTAATCATGCAATGGAAAATGTTGGATGGATGTTTACTGTAGCTAAAGCAATTCCATTATTATTAAATTGTAATTTAGGTTTGTATTTTTGATATTTTTTTTTGGGGGGGGGGGGTCATTTATTGATTGATTGATTAATTGATTTTTTTTATTTGTTGTTTTATTTTAAGAAATCTATCTCAAAGGATTATTGCATAAACCATGTTTTGGAACAAAAGAAGTTTTGATAGATCGATGTTTTATTGATACACTTGAATTAATGAAAGGCGAAAAAGAAAGTGTTGTTCCATTAACTGCTAAACCAAGGTTACTTCAAAAAGCCACCAAAAAACCTCCATTTTTTCATTACTTATTTTATAGGTAAATAAAAAAATTATGAAAATTATGAAAATAATCTTTATTGTTATTTTTAATAATATTATTAACAGTGTGCAATTTGTTTTTTTCTAAACATGTTTTAGAAAATCTGAAATTGGCAAGTATATGGAAGATGATAATGAGATGGCAAAATCGACAAGCGTTCGTATTGTTCCATTACCAGATTTCTTTGTATACCCAAATGGTATAAAAGATGAAAAATTGCACCCGACAAAATTAATCAAACGACTATTGAAATTAATTTTTTGGCCACGTGGGTATGTTATAAAAGAAGAATCAGATCGCAGTCCATTCTTAAAAGTGCTCAGACAAAAAAGAAATGAGTTGATGTATAACAATCCATCATTGGAAGCTTGTATCAAATTCAAATTCTCATCAGCAAAGCATTATTATATCAGACATTTAATCCATTATTTGTTCTATGCACTCATGATATCACTTCTACTTGGTTTGATTGCTATTCCTTACTCGGGTGATGAAAATAATACTCCTACGTCAGATTCTGCAATTGATTACTTAAATGAGGCATATGATCCAAAGGCGAGCTCTATTCTTTTAGCTTTGACTGCATATATTAGTTATTACTTGTTAGCAATAGAAATAATACAGGTTAAACAAGATAAAATCAAAAGATATTTGAATTTTTATAATTTTACTGATGCTATATCAGTCGTGTTGCCATTTCTTGCAGTATTTGGAAATTATGTTGTTAATATTAAAAAATATAGAGATTCACTTAACTTTATATATGGAAATAATTCTAGTATTGGAGATATGTTTCAATTTTTATCGGATAATGATAATAATGGTGTCTCTAAAACAATAGCAATTGTCAGTTCGTTTGTTGTGTTAATTTTGTGGTTGGAATTTGTAAGTAAATTTTATTTAAAAATATTATGATTAATAATAATAATAATGACAGCACTAATAATTTTTTTCAAATTTTCTAAACAGTTATTATTATTAAGATTTTTTTCACGCCCTGCATATTTTATCAATCTTATAATTGATATAGTAAAAAGTATTTGGCCATTTTTGGTTTTCATGCTGATTGTAATTTTTGGATTCGGCCATGCAATGTAAGTTATTGACATTACGTTTTATTTTTTCAAAAATTAAAATTATTCACAATAATAAATTTATATATAATATATTTTTTAAAGGCACATATTATTAAGGAATGTAAAAGAGTTTGGTATGAGTGCAACTCGTAATTCTTTTAATTTTCGTGATAAGTCAGGAGGAGCACTTGATGGCCCTTTCTCAAATATTACCATTCAACAAGACTTTAATGAACTTGATGAAAGTGACAACTTTTTCGTTTCATTTTTTAAATCTGTGGAAGTTGTTTATTTTTGGCCCACGGGTAGGTGGGATCAAGTAGATCACTGGGATTTTTGGCCAGTTGATGTGTTGTCTATACGTGAGTAAATAATAACAATGATGATGATGATGATGATGATTCTATTTCCTAGCCCCTCTGGTTATTTATTTATTTTATTTGGGTTGTTTACTAATATTAAATATTTCTATTTAATTTAGTTGCAAGTGTGTTATTGGTAATAGTGATGCAAAATTTATTAATTGCATTCATGACGTAAGTATACAAAAACAAATAATTGTGTAATTGCAATTTTTCAAAAGCAGTAAAATAATGATTATTATTTTTTATAGAGGTGTATTTGAAGATGCCAACAATAACGTAAAACAAAAAACTTTAAAAATCAGAGCAGATTTATTATCCGATTATGAGACAATAGAAAAACCATTTGGTAATACTAGAGGAAATCCTCGTTTCGTTTATTATGTCGGCAGAGCCGATGACTTGGAAGAATGGGTATTTAAAAGTGAAAAGTTTCGCAAGAAATTTAAATCATTGGTTAAACCTGACGATACTTTAAATTTATATGATATTGAATACGATGAATTTATTGATGATAATGACGATGATGACGATATTTATGATGATTGGACTGGTAACAATGGTGGTGGTGGTGGCAGTGGTGGTGATAAGAACAAGTTAATTGTTCATGAAAAGTCATTACTTAGAATGGAAAGTGATGCTAGTACAGCAACTAGTAGCGATTTTGATAGTTTTGATTATAGAAAATTTAATATTAGTCTTGGTGGAACTTTTAAATATGGATTGAAAGCCTTTAAAATTATTGATATTGAATTCAATCATATCCTTAGTAACCGCAAAGACCATTGTAGTAGTAGCAATGAATTTTTATTATTGGGAAGAGAATCACCATTATCACCTACACCACTTTCATCATTACAAAATGAAGTTAATGAAATGAAAAAATTTGAAACTGATGTTTCAAATAGAATTACCAAGATTGAGAATAGTTTAGAAGAAATTATTAAATTAATAAAATCCAAACAAGCCTAAAAAAATATGTTTATATATTTTTTTAATGTAAATTTTTTTTCAAGTTTTTAATTTTCAATTCCTTCTTTTGGTAGATCCTCTTGTGGTGGTGATGTTGACGATAAATTCTTTTGATGTTTTGGTAATTTTTCAGGCGGTGTTGGTTTTGGACTTGAAAGAAAGTAGGGGTGAAACAAAGCCTGAAAATTATAAATATTACATGTAAATTTTTTATACATAAATGAATTTGTATTTCAAAAAGCAACCTTGGCCCATTGAATGATTGATTAATTGATAATATCTAACCTCTCGTGTTGTAAGTCTTTTATTTGGATCGTAAGTTAACATTTTTTCCAATAAATCTATTGCATCGTTACTAGCAGCTGTGAAAAGTTGTTTCAGTGGTGTTCTTGTATATTTTTGAAACTTTAAATTCCCAGCTAATTCATTAAATCCCTAAGAAAATTTTTTATATTGAATTATTATATCAAAAGAAATGCTTTTTAATATCATAAATCATAAAGACAAACCGGCCAATCTTCTTCAGATGGAGTTCCTAGAGCTTTAAAAATAATTTCAAGTTGTCCAATGTCAGTATCACCAGGTAAATAAGGTGTACGTAACATCAATTCTGCAAATATACAACCAACCGACCATATGTCAACGCCATATGCGTATAATGTTGAAGAAAAAAATAATTCAGGAGCTCGATACCATCTTTTAATCATTGTAATTAATAAATTATGTTTAGTACTATTGTTAATGAACCCTTCCCCCAAAGTATAGATGTTTGTTTTTTAATGATCATACCTAGTAACAACTTGAGGTGACATATTTTTGATTTGAGGACTAGCAAAATCTCTTGCCAAACCAAAATCTGCAAGTTTCAATTGACCATCCTTACCAACCAATAGATTGTTTGGTTTCATGTCCTTTTTTTATTATTATTTTATAATGATAAATATATAATTTTAAAATTGACATTTTTAGTTATTATTATTTTATAATGATAAATATATAATTTTAAAATTGACATTTTTAGTTATTATTATTATTATTATTAATAAAAACAAAATTTATTTTTGAAACAAATTACCCGATGTAAAATCCAATTACGATGGCAATGGTCTAATCCTCTTAAAGTCATCAAGATCCAACTTTTTATGTCTCCTGGAATGAACACAAGTGACCGATCTTTTATTATCATCTCCAAATCAGAATCCAAATATTCCAAGATAAGTTTCAAACTTGCTTTATGTGAATAAATATCAATCAACTAAAAATTTTGAATTATTATTAAAAATTATTTTTACATCATTTATTATTATTTTACTAGTCATAAAATGACATCAATCATGTTAAACAAGCTATGACACCTCGATTATGTTAATATGTTTTAATTCTCTCAACATTTTTATTTCTTTTACAGCCGACATTTCTATGCCTTGAATTCCAATTTCAGTTTGAACAAGTTTTATTTTTTTGATAGCAACTGTTCGACCAGTCTCGCGCTCGATACCTAAACTATAACAGTTGATGTTTTATTTATTTATTCACAAATAATATGCTCTAAAAGGAATTATACTTTTCTATACCTTGATACACTTTAGCATAAGTTCCTTCACCGATTTTTTTGCCCTTTATGTATTTATTTTCGATTTGAAGTTCTTCTTCTTCAGGTTGTTGGAATAGCATTTTTTTAAAATAATCAATTTGGAAAAATTGGGAAAAATTTATTCGATTGGTGTGACAGATTATTATTATTATGATTATTATAATTGATAAAAAAATTTTTTGAAAAATACATCTTTTCTTTTTTATTTAGATGCAAATTTATAAAGAAAGTATTATTTTACAGCTCATAATATCAATACAATTTTGGAGAAGGCTCTTACCAGAGATCAATGGCTTAGTTTAGTCGATTTCTATATGTATCGCTTTGTTAGTAGACAAATATAACATAATAGACAATTTACAATTGATTAGTATCCATTAAAAAATTTACAAATATCACGATGAATGAAATTAATGTAAAAGTTAAAAATCAAGTTTATAGAACTACAGACATTATCGAAAGACGCGTCTGTCTATGACACAAATATATATATGTAACAAAGGGCATAAGAATTGTATGGAATAATGCAAATCCTAATATCCGGATAAAGATAAAAAATCATGTTTTCTGCGGAGCATACTGTTAAAAAAGAACAGGAAAGGTAGTGAGTGAAGTTATTTCTTACATAAATTAAGCGCACAGAATATTTTTTAAATGTAAAAAAAAGAAGTCATGACATTGATAATTTAAAAAGTGGTAGCGTCGTTCAACATCGTACTTGTAATTGAATAAGCATGATCTTGCCACCGTTATTCATCAAGTATGCAGTATGAATAATTTTTATATGGGTTTAGTTTTTAAAAAAATAGAACACTCATTATAACACAGAGACATTGTACATCTATCAAATACTGTCGCTATAAATGGGCCAGGGTTTATATTACAAGTATTACAAGAGATAAATTAAACAATTACACTAATAGCTTTCATTTATATATCAATGAGTATCTTTACGTATCATAAAAAAAGCATTTTCGTTTCATCAATTTAAGACATCCAGAGTTATTTACCACATCAAAGGCGTAGTGTAAAAATTTAATTAAGAAAATTTTTGCTTTTACCACATTAATATCACTATGATCAGCAATGGAAAATGTTTAAATATTAGATGCCACATGACAAATGTAGCAAGGAATTGGAATCCTTGAATAGGATTCATATTTATTATAAGAAAGTCACACATCGTCACGATACAATATAGTTGTAATGGGTGAAACACGTGAAAAGAAAATTGATTGATTGACTTTTTTCTTTAAAAGTGTCGACAAACAAAAGGAAATCGGAATCATGAGCAAGTATCGTTGGGAGGGAGAAATTTTAAAAGCTTTTTCTAAAAGAAAAAAATAATAGTGGCGATTATTGATCTAAACTCGTCATTTTAGTTTTCAAAAAACATATATATTATGAATCCACAAAGATTAACAAAATTTTACCTTTTCATGTCTATTTATTTTTTCAGCGAATCCTCAGAGTTGTCATCATCTACTTTAGCATCCTTGGTTTCATCAAATGTAAGTAAATTATAATCATCAAAGAGGTCATTATCGAGGATACAAAAAAATTGGTAGTATAATACCAGAGAAAAAGAGCATTACGGATATAGCTTTATGCTCTAAATTTGTTCTAAAAAACCTCAGCTACTAATTAACTGCATTGAGAAAATGTTGAAAATTTTATTAGAAAAATGGGTCATCTGGCAGCACTAGCAAAATGATGTTATTTGTTACAACTAACAAAAAAAGTAAACTCACCATTAAATATGGAGATTACACGTTTCATAATTGTTATCATTATCCCAAACTGAATTCACAAAATCATAATTTGGAGAATGTCTAGATCAAGGATGATGATACATACAATAGAATAGTTATTGAAATAAAAATCAAACTACATGAAATCATGAGAAGCTTTTAATTAAAAACCAAAGATCTTAAGAAACTTGTACCTTTTGTCATTTATTGCATATTTACTTCATCCTTATCAAGGTCAATGTAGTCATTATTTTACAAACAAACCAACCTTTTACCTTAGACTTGTGTATTCGTTATTTCATAATGAATGGGATTTAGGTTATTCCATCAACCAGAAAAACAACGTAAAGAATATTGATTTGAAAGTTTTTCCTTATATAAAGTGTAGTAGTGTGAAACAAATTTAATTCAGTTTAAATTTTGATGCAAATACTACAGTCAAACCTTTTCACATGGGCCAACAAAAAACCCGCCAGATGATAATAATAAATGTAATAATGTTACTTGTTTTTCAATGATTTAAAAGTTTTGAATCTATTGTATCTAATTTATAAGAGATTTGATTTTTTAAAAGTGGTTTTTTTATTCGCGTACACAAAATGATGATGACTGGTGTTTTGGATGGTATATACACTTGGAGCTTTGCATCCAGTCAAAGTTCATATCCTCATCATCTATATGGTAAATATGGAAGGATAAACAATCTATTTGATTTTATTTTTATTGTTCGCGTGCATTAGTAGTAGTAGCCTATAAATGTACAACTATATGTTGACAAATAGACCACGTATAAATCTTTTTTCTTGATATTCTGCCAAGGCTTAAAAGGATTACGAATTAATAATAGTATCATTAGCGAATTATTACACCACTCACTATTACTGTCCTGATTATTATTTCTCAAATATTAATATATTAAGGATGTCTATTCCTATCATTTAAAATATAGGATCGTACATTAATTAATTTACTCTTAATGTAATAATTCAATTAACTAACAATCGAACGAAACCATTTGGTGTAATCTGATCAACCAAATTCTCTTTAACTCCTCCATAATTTGTGACATTATCATTGACCGTTGTGCTGCTTTTAGTTGCTCTCAATGTATCTTAAGCTTTGATGGAACCTGGTATAAACAGTTTCTGGTGTCTTTACATTTTCAATTGTGAAGGAAAAGTGGCGTTGTTTTATTTTTAGTACTCTTTAAAAAAAAAATTAAAAAATTAGATATACTGTATATGGAGCGTAGCGTTGGTCTCCAAAAACTATTTTGAAGAGGTTAAAGTCAAAAAATTAAAGTTACATGTCAAGAGTCAAAAGTCAAAACTAGTTTCGACTTATGGCGAAACCTTTTGACTTTCGAAACTCCCTAGTTTTGGAAATGAAGCGGTAAGTGGAAATATAGGCGACAAAATTTTTGACAAAGGATAACGATTGAAAAACAATCAAGAGTTCAATAACAATTGAAGTAGGACTTTGAATTGGTTATAATAAATTTATCTTTACTATTTTTATGAAATTAAGGGTCTGAAAACAATGAGGATATATAGGAAAAAAAACGGCGTCAAGGATTCACTATATGTAAAAAATTTTATTGATTATGAAATTTGCATTTGGATTTACTTTTTTTGTTTATATTCCAGTCTTTAAAG